ACACACACACGCACACACACACACACGCACGCACGCACGCACGCACGCACGCATACAAAATATATATGTGTATGAAATAAATAACGAAAGGATGATCCACGAAATAATATCTAATCTGCCTACTGATGTTATCCAGTAAAATTATAACGATAAATAAAGCTGTTTGTACAAAGCGAAAAATAATTCCCCCCCCCCTCTCGTAATCTTAATCTTATAAAACTGTCTCTTATTATAAGGAACAAAATGCTATTTTGTAAGTGGCAGTCCTCCATAGCCGAGTCGTCTCTGTAGCAAGACGGTTCTTCCACAGAACTTGTCTCTCTTACATAGCGGAATAATAAAAAATAAAATTTCTTACGTCGCGTGATTAGAAGTATATTACATATGTTTACTTATATATTCTGCAATTCATTAATTTCTCTCGCTCACTTTCTTTCTTCCTTTCTCACTTATATATGTATATACACATTTTTATACATTTCATACATTTCGCATTTGCAATTGTTTCAAACATTACTCACACAATGCAATTGCATTGAATCAAAGTAAGTTTACGTCCATTATAATTATGTATAATAAACTTGCACACAACCATTTTTCACATTTCTTATAGATACATGTTGCAATAATGACTTTGACAGACCGTTCTTCTTTCACATGCATACAAAATATCTTAAGAAATTTACATCCGTGCATTCTTTTTTTAACATACTCTAAGTTATACTTTTCTTTCATATAGTTCAGTTAAACGTCTACGACAGCACGATTGTTTTTAACGACAGCTTGTCAAAGATTATTGCGTCATTTTGTATTAATCTTGTAAATTCGCTATTCTATCTTTCCTCTGGCTCATATAAAAATAACACGCAATGCGAAGCTATCCAACATTGCTTTGTACATTCGCCCGTGCTCCAATGAAACAAAGTTGAACTTAACGAAAACTAAAAAGTATTCATTGCCAAACTATGACGCTTATTCGTACTATTGCGAAAAGCTATTAATGTAACTTAATGTAGAATGTGATGAAAGCGATTGCCGATACGAGCCGTCAAAGGCTTCAAAAGACAGAGCTATTGATAACATTCGGTCCAATTGTACTATATATAATAATTTTTGCAACGAAAATCAAAAATTGCATGTTAAAAAAAAAGAAATTATATTAAAAAAAAAACAATCTTTCTTCAAATCTGTAACGAAAAAAAGACTAGCGATTCTATTCGATAGAAATAGCGATGCGAGTAATAACGATAGAACTAATAACATCAGTGTTTAATTGTTAATTAATGCTAATATTTAATTAGCCTAATAGTATCAATGTACATTTCGTTCGGATGTTGCGTAGTCATCAGGCAAAATGTCATCATCGATCGATATTAAGAATCGCAAAGAAACTAAGCTCTATAGATCAATGTGCCTCCGACATCGTCCATGTTATGTGTGTTAAAGTGTGTTACATTCATTCTGGACAATAAAATAATATCGTAGATCATTTTTACAGAATGCATTAATGGATCCATTAATTTCAACTACATTTTACAACACTCTGCTTTCCGTTTAAACAAACATGTGTATTTCACGTTTTCGGTTTATAAATGCAGAGAATGAGTGTAGGTAAGAGTGTAGGTAAAGAGTAGATCCGCTTAAACATCACTTCATTTCACATAAATGTAACAAGCCGAGTATTAGCATTCCATGTTAATTACATTTACAATTAATCTTGTATTTACACGTTATTCATTACTTAAAACATAATATAATTCCATCTAATGTTGTTTCTCTCACTTTATCGTTTGTAATAAGAAGAGACGTACTGATCAAAGTCCAGTATGTACACATATGAAGTAGATTAAATAGATTATTTATGGTAGAGAAGAAATAATTACGATAAGCTAAAAAGGAATCTTCATCTTTTCCCTATAATCTTTATATAGATCTTAAGGATCGTGGACAATTACCAGTTGTGACATTAAAATGTGAATCTAAGAGAGTCATATACATTTTATATATAACAATACCTTATGTACATTCTCGTGAGCATCTCGCAAAGTTACTGTAATAAAACAAGAAGCAAAAACGGAAGAAAATATGGAATCGTGTGTAAGTAGATCTTTCGATTTGTGTGCTATCTAAAAAGTGAAATATGAAAAATATATATACATATATTTTAATTTTGAACCAAACATTGTGTGGGCGCATGTTTTCCGACATGCATAATTGCTGAATTTCTGCAAATAAAATCTTTGCGTAACTATAAAAGTTCTTTATTTGTTAATAAATTAATTAATACTAAAATTTCAATATCTTGAAAAAAAATGAGTGTACATTTATAAAAATATATTAATCAACATAATGCGAATATTAAAGAAACTTTGAACATTTTGCATTGAATCCTACAGATCAGTGGCCAATGACTCTTGATCATACTTACATGTAGATGAATTAATGCTATCAAAGTGTATTCTTCATACAACTTGTTGAAGATTTAAACTCACGATTCTATTTTCTCGATACAGTTACAAAATAAAAAAAAACTTCAAGCTTAACGCTCAATCAGTATCTCGCGATTCAAGCATTTTAACATGCTTGAAAGAAATGAATTTTTATTGATACCCGGATAATAAAGTAAGTTTCAGACTTATTTCACACTATACATAGTAATGATTTTATTAAATTTAATGCGTTTCTTTAAAATAAATATCAATTAAGTATATATAGTCTGAGTAAAAAAATTATATATTCACTACAAAAAATATATTTTAATATCTTTTTAAATAACCGCGCTATTTCTTTCTTTTTCTTTTAGTAAAATTTTAAACTTTTGTTAATTAAAGTTTTGTAAATATTTCTTCCACACGATATATCGACTTCAAAAATATGCTGTTCATTTTAATATGCTGTACATTAAAAAATAATTAAATTATTAAAAAAGTACCCAACAAATTTTTTTGAAACAACCAAGGCAGATATGTACTTTTAAAAAATATATAAACGCGCGCGCGCGCGCGCGCGCGTGTGTGTGTGTGTACACATACATATGTAAGTTTATTATATGTATTCCGAATTATATCCATTTACCGGATATAATTACCGAATTATAAAAATGTTTATATTTTTCGATGAAAAATTCTCTTATTATTAGAATTAAAATTCGTAAAATTTAAATAAATATATGGAAAGTAATGAAATTGAAATGTAACTAGATCGTTATAATGTGAATAAAGTCGTTTTTCACAGTTATGGGAGTTTCCCAGCAGAGGCACAAATCGACACAGGAATCATTCTGTCTTTGTTTCTTACTGATCATCGAACAAGGATGACTCCTGTGTTTTTATATCTCTTGGAAAGTTTCCCATAATGATCCTTTCATAAAACGAAGAATTAATTCATAACACTTTAATAAGTTTCTGTGTGCGTGCGCTCGCGCGCGCGTGTGTGTATGTGTGTGTAGATATCACTTTGCTTCGTAACTGAATCGATAAAAATTGCACCGTTTACTTATTCTATACAGATTATCGCAACAAATGCTGATAAAAATCGATAGAATAACATTAAAACTATTCGTCATGTCCAAACGCAACTCTCCATTTAATATTATTTAATGTTGTGTAATAGTATAAGAATTACTCGCTCACTTTGCATCATTGTTTTGACCGTTAGTGTCGGCATCGGCATTTGTATCCTCTGACAGATCATCGTCCGCGCCTGAAAACAGAGATACAAAAACATAAAATAATTAAATAAAACAAGATATACGTATATTATACATGAAACAATCACATACAAATTTACGAACTAAAGTTAAAAAAAAAAAAAAAAAAAAAAAACTCGAGATTTACCTGTCTCTTCCTCCTCATCTTCTTCTTCTTCTTCTCCGGAAGAAGAATCACTGTCGCTATCTGTGCTCTCGGAATTTGCCGAAAGGGAACATTGATCATATTGCTCAGGTTCGGAATAGACCTCCGCGCCAGGGAAAATATACCTGCCTGCTGCCAATTGGTAATAGGAATTTTCTGTAAAAAAAAAAAAAAATCCCAACCGTATTAATATTTTTGTCATTTACAAGAATACTAAAATATGTATTTGTGATATTTGCAAAAATACATAGTAGGTTTTTGTACCTGGTAATCTAGTAGCGAGGCTCTCCCGAATCTTTGATTGCCAACAATGTCTCTCTAATCTTCGGTTCTTCAATTCAGTTATATGAAACTTTTCTTCTGTGCTATCAATACTGTTACAACTATCACCTATACCTGAATCCAATACCGAGTCTACCGATGCTTGCCTCGGTTTCGGTATCGTTTTGTCTGATTCAATAGTAGCATCTAGATTCGCGACAACGTCATCATACTTTTTTGATTTTCCACACTTATTTAGCGACTTGTGAGACTCCAGAGTAGTTTCGCTTATTACAGCTTCTGAAGAAAGAGATAATACTGTCGGCACCACCTGACATTCTTCCGAATTATTTTCATATGTAATGTGAAGTTCGTTTTCTGACGAGATCATTGTGTGTTTAGTATTCACTTTCACTGGTGATGTGGAACTCGCAACTTCTGTCTCGCGTGTGCTACCAAAATTCATCCTCTTAGGACTGTTCTCTATACTAGTGTCGCCCAATCGTCTTTTCGGACTTTCTCCTAGAATATTGAAGATCTCTTCTGGATTCTCCACCTGAATATGATTACTATGCAAAGATGATACACAGACATCGATATCATTTGTACAGTGATGTGGCATTACATTCGTGATAGAAAGGCTATCCTGACTTTCAGTCGAGGATACAACAGTGTGAGGTTTCAAATCAACTTCTGCACTATCGCGCGATATTTCAGTATTACTTGTCGTGTCTTGACTCTGTTCCCAAGTATCATCAGACAGACATCGCAATGGTAAAAGCTGCGAGACTTCCGTCAGAAATTTATCGTACCAACAAACTTCCTCATAAGTATCGCCCATTCTGCACAAATTGAATTGATATGTTCGTTAAATACAAATTTAATGTATAGGTATATTTTTTGTGATACACACATTTTTAATTTTAAGAAAAAAAATTAAATAAGATATATGTTTCATATAAAATTTTCATATAAAAAATTTAACTTTTTACTTACAAATGGCAAATTTGATTTATAATAATGTCACCATCTCCCAATAGCTCAACATCAAATTTGAGATGTGGTAATGGTTCTCGATTAATAAGGATCTGCGGTACATGCGACGGAATGGATGAAGGAATTAGGGCAACCGGCCGAACTTTCAAAGATGATCCAATAACTATTAGAAGGTCGCAATCGTCCTTATCTTTGGCCATCGCGTCATGGAAAGCATCTGGGAGGCCTTCACCGAAGAAGACAATATCTGGCTTCATTATACCTTGCGACACCAAATCTGAGAATAACACATGAGAGAGAATTATTAAATTTAATTAAATTAACAATAATTTTAATTAATTAATTTAAATTAAACGATTATTTAAAATGGCATTTTTGTAACGTTCCGCTCAATCGTAACATATAGTATTATTGAATTGAGGAAACAGAAAACAATCCAGGACAATAAACGACAAGCCTCGAAATAGTCGCGAAACATGGCACTCACACAGGTAAGTGCAATCTTTTAAGTTTACCTTTATATGCTTATTAAAAAGCGAGGCTTTATAATCGCAGTTACGATTGATGATATCAACTTATGTGTTGGATCGGTAACTTCATTTAGTTCGAGACATTCCGAGAAGAAGAGTAGAAACGTTCTCTCATTGGCCATCGATTCGCGACATTATATAGCAAAGGCTAACAATGAAAAACTATCACTAAAGATAGTTATATAACCCTCCGTATCATATTGAAATTGACAAGCCATTACGAAAGACTGCAAATAAATACACTATCAGCAAGGATTATGTAAAAACGAGATGCTCTATTTACCTCTATAGTTCTCGCTACAATTCATTTCGGACAGAGAGGGCAATGCATTGACACGGCACTTTGGACACGTAGGTATCCTCTGTGCGAAGATATCTTCCCTGATGTCATTCGCTCTAACTTGATATTTACACTTTGTACACGATGCGGTAGCGAAAGAGCCTTCAACGAAAAATATACAATAATTAAAAAATAGTTGACATAACTAAACGTAATTGTACATTATATACAAGCTTATGAGTTATAATACAAACACTGCATAAACTTGACAATAATGTTGCAACAAACATACTTCAATAAGATGTACAATGTTTCTTAGTGTTAACATTTCAGTTGATTTTTTAGATAATTTTTATAAAGAAATTTATATAACTGTATTACTACACATATGTATTTATTATGTATACGTGGATAAAATCTTATGATAATTTAATGTTAATTTAATTTAATATTAATTAAATTTAAAAAACTCTACTTGCTACAACATCGACAGTTATCGATATAAAAAATACATTTATTTATTAATAAAAAAAACATCAAAAATTTTTAATAAAATTTAATATATTAAAAAATCTGAATGTTTTTCATGTACAAATGTGTAATAAACATATATAACAATATTATATTTACCATGACATTCAATCACATTTTCGATACCAGCGACTTGTTCCAAAGTGTCAATATTTTGTGAATAATTCCTCAAGAGCTTCTTCTGCTTTTCTAACATTTTGATGAACCTATGACAAGGGCTAGGTTTAAACTGCCCTGGATATATCTCGCGCGCAAATTTGTAGAACGGTCTGGGATCTTGACTAAAATAGTCAATGTCAAACATAGCCTAGAAACAAATACAGTAAATATAAACTAGACAAATTCTTTATAATTGTGCAAAATTTTTAATTATATATATATATATAT